GCAAGCTTTGCAAGTAATCCAGATTTCACTGTACATGAGGTGCTCTTCCCAGAATTTATTCACTATAATCTAGCATGAACTACTCTAAACTCTGAATCTAGGATTATCTAAAGAGCTACAAAAATTGCATTGATCATACCTTGAAAGAAAGAGCTCCCTTTAAAGAGCTGTCTTTTCCCAATATCATTTTATCCCAGATTCTTCTGTTAGGCAAAGTTGCAAAGTAGCATTTTCTCTGCTCACAGTAGATTTAATTCAACTTCCTTTATCCCAATGCTGTGCTGTGATAAGAAAGGTTCTATGCTGTTGCCTGATTTTCATTCATTGCCAACTCTGCTGCTTTCCTGTCTCCTCTTTCGCAGGAGGATTGTAAATGAACACTTTTATTATGGTATATTAATATTTGTCAGTTCTTTGAGGTAGACCAGACTTGTAAACCAGTGTTTCCCAAACTTTTGACATATGTGTACCCCTTCTATAATTTTCGTAACGCTGAGTACCCCTCATAAAAAACATATGGTACCCCTGGGGGTATGCGTACCACACTTCGGGAAACACTTATAACACTGCAATTCTCCAGCATTTAAACAGCTCTGCAGCTCAACGTCAACTGTTAATGTTCCCGCAGTTTAAAAATGGCTGAACCCGAGTTGCGCGAAGGATGCACAGAAGTTCCCTCCATAATGAGTTGCGATACGATGTACGATGGCCCCAGTTCCCGTGTAAAAACTGCGATACACGCCTGTTTCTTTCCTTGTTCTGTTGGCGTAGCTAAGCACGGTGCAGTGGATATTCCCACGTGATCCCCACCAAACTCCGGTGCAATGCATACCCCCACCAAACTCTTCCCGTACCCCTGGGGGTACGCGTACCACACTTTGGGAAACACTGTTGTAAACCAAAGTTATGAAACCAAAGTATACTATAACTACTTTTATTATAGGTTCAGTAATAGAACCCAGCAAGTCCAAAAGGGCCACCCCCACTCCTCACCTTTATATACAAGAAAACTAGGGAGAGATCTGAGAATCTAAGAAATCTGAGAAAAAGATCATCTGAGATTTTCCTCAAATTACATTTCTGCTTTGGATTCAGTTTTCTGTTATTTGACTGTTGTCTTCATTCTGGCCCTTCCCACTGTTCATCAAGGTTATTATTCTCATAGTCCATTGCAATATAATATATCATCTTGTGTATAAATCAACTTCATTCTTTCAATATGAGAAAAGATATGCTTCCAGAAGAACTGCATATTCCAGAACTATGAGTCTATTTTATCAACCACCACCTACCAAAAGTCATCCGTAAGAGAAACCCAACTATGTGAATTCCTGATGGAACTTTTCTTAGACAAACTAAGCAAGTAAGTAATTTTACATGAGTAAATGAAACAAAACAGAGAGCAGCTGATAGCTACTAAAAAAAAACCTTCCAAGGAAATTGTATTCAGTACTTCATCAAGGGCAACTTAGAGAAAAAGGAGATAGTTAACAAATGATCTACAAAATTATAATGTTGAATAAAAAAAATAAAAAAAGATTTGGCAATTCTAATTCTAAAGGATTGGAACTCTTTAATCATCTTTGTATTCTAAATAATTGTTCAAATAACTAGTCATAAGAGTAGTAGTTTTAAAATGACTAAGGTCTATTGGGTGTTTCTAGAGTTAAGAAAACAAAATGGCTTTCATCATCATTTTTAACTACTTGTCTATAAATCTATGAGATAATCCATAAATTGTATAGTGTACTGGACTGGGAAGGTAAAACACACACCTTAATCCAGACTTATGAAGCTGTCAGTTTACTTCCATGGCAAAGATATATTGCACTATATTTAATGCAGCATAGAAACTCTACTTAAAATGGAGTTCTCAGTACTAAAAAATTCTAAAATATGTTTGACAACACACAAAAGAAAGAAAGAAGGAAGGAAGGAAGGAATTAATTAATTAATTAATTAATTAATTAATTAATTTTATTAGATTTTTATACTGCCCTTCTCCTACTGGACTCAGGGCGGTGAACAGCCAAGACTAAAAACATCACATACAAAATTTAAGATTAATTTTAAATGAATTAAACAAGTTTTGGCCCAATATAAAATTTAAAACACCCAACTAAAATCAATTAATAATTAAAAATGTCTAAGGGAGGGGGGGCAAGACAGCCCAGCTTGATGAAATAAAGTTTTAAGGGCACGGCGAAAAGACCAGAGATCTGGGATCCTACTCATCTCTGGGGGCAGGTTGTTCCAAAGGACAAGTGCTGCCAGAGAAGGCCCTCCACCTGGGGGTCACCAGCTGACATTGCCTGGCCGACGGCACCCTGAGGAGTCCCTCTCTGTGGGAACGTACTGGCCGGTGGGAGGCTATCAGTGGCAGAAGGCAGTCACGTAAGTACCCAGGTCCTAAGCCATGGAGCGCTTTCAAGGTGGTAACCAACACCTTGAAGCGCACCCGGAAGACCACTGGGAGCCAATGCAGGTCGCGCAGGAGAGGTGTCACATGGGAGTGCCCCATCGCTCCCATAATCCCCCACGCGGCCGCATTCTGCACCAGTTGGAGCCTCCGGATGCTCCTCAAGGGGAGCCCCATATAGAGAGCATTACAGTAGTCCAGGCAAGAAGTGACGAGTGCCTGAGTGACCGTGCGTAAGGAGTCCCGATCCAGAAAGGGACGCAACTGGTGAATCAGGAGAACCTGATAAAAAGCCCCCCTGGCCACAGCCGTTATATGCTCTTCTAAAGACAGCTGTGCGTCCAGGAGGTTGCCCAAGTTGTGAGCCCTCTCCGTGGGGGCCAGTAACTTGCCCCCAACAGCCAGCGATGGCACCAGCTGGCTATATCAGGACGCTGGAAGCCACAGCCACTCAGTCTTGGAAGGCTTGAGTTGGAGCCTATTTCTCCCCATCCAGACCCGCACGGCCTCCAGGCACTGGGACATCACTTCAAGGGCATCATTGGGATGGCCTGGGGTGGAGATGTACAGCTGAGTATCGTCAACGTACTGATGGAACTCCACCCCAAAACCACAGATGATCTCACCCAGCGGCTTCACATAAATGTTGAACAGGAGAGGTGAGAGGACCGACCCCTGCGGCACCCCACAGACAAGGTGCCTCAGGGTCGACCTCTGCCCTCCTGCCAACACCGACTGCGACCGGTCCGAGAGATAGGAGGAGAACCACCCCCAACTCCTCCAACCAGTGCAGCATGATACCATGGTCGATGGTATCAAAAGCTGCTGAGAGAACTAACAGGACTAGGATAGAGGAACAATCCCTATCCCGAGCCCTCCAGAGATCATCCATCAATGTGACCAATGCTGTTTCCATGCTGTGCCCAGGCCTGAAGCTGGACTGGAGCGGATCTAGATAGACAGCTTCATCCAGGTACCGCGGAAGCTGTCGCGCCACCACAGTCTCAACAAACTTTGCCACAAAGCGACTGGATGGTAGTTAGCCAAAACAGCCAGATCCAGGGAGGGCTTCTTGAGGAGGGGCCTCACCACCGCCTCTTTCAAGGCGGAAGGCAAGACACCCTCACTCAGAGAAGCGTTAATAATCCCCTGGAGCCAGCCTCGCGTAACCTCCTGGGAGGCCAGCACCAACCAGGAGGGACACGGGTCCAATAAGCATGTGGTCACATTCAGCCATCCCAGAATCCTGTCCATGTCCTCGGGAGCCACAGGTCAAACTCCTCCCAAATGACAAGACCTGCCTCCATCATCCCGCCTGTACCTACCCAGTCAGAGACCAAGCCTTCCTGAATCTGAGTGATTTTATCATGCAGATACTACACAAAATCCTCAGCCCTACCCTGCAAGGGATACTTCCGCGCTCCCGGATGGAGAAGGGAGCGGGTCATTCTAAACAGGGCAGCTGGGCTGCAGATACGATAAGAGCAGAAAAATAGTTACATTTTGCCACTTTTATCGCCACTAGGTAGCTCTTAATATGAGACCTCAACAGTGTTCGGTCAGATTTGGAACGGCTGGTCCTCCAACCGCTCTCCAGGCGTCTTTTCTGGCGCTTCATCTCTCTCAGCTCCTTGGAGAACCAAGGAGCCAGATAAACTTGGCGATGGGTCAGAGGCCGCAAAGGCACAACTTGGTCCAAAGCGCCAGCGGCTGCCCTGTCCCAGGCGGCCACCAGCTCTTCAGTCGAGCCATGAGTCAGAGCCTCAGGAAATGGCCCAAGCTCCATCTGTAACTGATCAGGATCCATCAGGCGCCTGGGGCAGAACCACCTAGTCTGTTCCGCCTCCCTGCGGCGGGGTGTGGCGGTTAGAAAGTCAAGCCTAAGAAGGGAATGATCTGACCATGACAAGGGTTCAGTCACTAGGAAGGAAGGAAGGATAGATTAAAAACTCCCCATGCCTTTGGAGAGTTAATTTGTCATCAAGGTTAAGCATCAATAATAATCTTATATAATACCAAAAAGTATCAAATACATCTTTTATCAGTATTTTAATATTTAGAAATATATTTCTTTCTACATTTTAAAAATTATTGCAGTGAAGGCATCATTTCCCCACTGAAATTACTTCCTTCAGACTCAGATGTTAAATAGTGTAATAGCAACAAAGTCAACACAAACAGTATTAAGGAGAAATGATAATTCTATTTGTCTGAGTGGACATTTTCTAGGTTGTGAAGGGGCTTTGGGGGAGGGGGCAATTATTGCTGTGCCTGAGGGCCAAAGTTGATGACTCTATCATTGAAAATAGCAGACCTGAAATTTTCAGATCCATAGACGTTTTTGCTTTGAGTGCAGGGCAAAGTGATCTCTTAATCTTTTAGTCTCCCCAAATGTAAAATAATCTTTGGAGACTTAAGAAATAAACTAAACTTGTACTTTTTGCAAGTGTTAAGGTACTCATTCTGTCCCTTTAAAGGAGGTGAAACAGGCAAGAAGACTGTGGTTTTTGCAATTTGTTTCAGCAGTGGTCATAAGAGACATTGATATCTTCTGCATTATAAAGAGGCACACAAGTATAAGTGATGGGTAGTATAGAAATTAATTAAATGAATGAATGAATAAATAATAAAGTAACATGTTTTTCTCTCATTGCGTGGGTTTTCTGCTCTCCTTTGTCATATTTCTGAGATATATTGAAAATTCTAGAGAAAGATGCTGTGTGATATCAGTCCTTGTTCCCAGATCTCGCATTTTGAAGGTGATGAATCTGCTCTTACACATTTCTTGCAATGTGCAAGTATTTCAGTAGATTTTGCTCAGCCTTACACCTGTCCCGCTGTTTTCTTCTAAAGTGGAAAAAGAAAATCTTATTCAAATGGTAAACATAATTATGCATTGGTATTTTTCATGTTACTTTTTAAAAAGACTAAACAAGAAAATGGATATATTTTTCATGTAATCCTATTTCCCTCTATCCAGTTCCAAAGTTGGATATTTTAGTTTCTATCCTCATAGTTAAGCAAGTCTTTTACATTCCTGAAATTATTTAAGGGTGTCAAAATTCTTGTGATCTTTTTTTAATAAATGCTTCTTCAGCTTCAAATAAAATATATAAGCCTATTTGAAAACCAGTACATTAAAGTATTTAAGGTCAGTATTCAATATGCAGTAATACTTTGATAGAAGAGCGAGTGAAAGAATGTATCAAACTCCTACCAAGAATAGGATATCAGAATCACGGAAGAGAAACAAACTCTAATGGATAACATTAAGATGGTAAGGTAGTTTCACACAGACTTCATTTCAAATTCTATCTGCTTGACTTTCCTCAGTCTTCCTACCTGGAATTTGATTGTGCTGAGTTTCAACCAAAAGTAACACAGAAGTTGAATAAAGATGTTTCATCTTCAATTTATAATGTAGCTCAATATACTGTATTTGCCTGTGCTGCAATTTTATTCAATTCTTTGTAAATGTTAGTCTACTTTTAAGCAAAACATCATGTCTATTATAAGAATTGTACTTCTATATTCACCTTCACAAAGGAATTGCAAATATGTTAACAAAAAAAAAAAATCTGCACACAGCAAGAAAGTGACAAAAATATCAATATTCTGGAAGAAACTTCAATAAAATATATTACAATGCTCCACTTATATTTTTTTGATACATATGAATGTCTATAATATAATAGTGAGCTCGCATGCCAGGTTTTTTTCCCCCCTTTTTTCTCCCCTGGGTTTTAGATGAATCACACTTTATCAGGGTAATGATTGACAAGTTTCTATTCAAATGTTAATGCACTATATTGCAGCTGATGACAGAGAAACAAGAAAGAGAAATGATGCCTCTGAGTACTCTTTCCTCTGAAATTGCTTCAGCATTCTGATAGGATAGAATCAGAATGAAAGACCCTAAGATCATTACATTCAATACCTGCAGTATTTCTTTTCTTTCTTGATGAAGTGTTATAGAAAATCTTAAGCTTTCAAAGGCTGTATTAGCATCAAAGCCATCACTTTTGGGAAGCCATAATCAATTCCAGAGAACAGATAAATTAATAAAAAAATTCTCCCTCTAAAAAGAGAGGAGAAGGGAAAGAGAGATTGGATGGGGATGTGTGTCTCTTTGAGTGATTTGCCCCTTATGTGTTGATATAATTAATATAAATAATTGCATTAATTCATTCTATTAAAAGAGAAATAGCTTAGAAGTTACTTTTTCTAAAACTGCAAAAAATAGATTTTATTATGAAATGAACATTTCTGAACATTTTTGGCAAATTGAATGGTGCTGATAGACTTGAAATATTTATTATACAACTGTAGCACAACTTTGCAACAGTTCTAAAACACTGATTCTAATGAAACTCTTAGCTTTCTAGCTGTTTCCTCTAATCCTTAACTAAATTACCAATTATATCCATCTAAAGTGGTATCTTCAATCCAAAGATAACTGTATGTTGCACCAAAAGTTAAGTTATGATAGACAGTACTTCCAAACCTTATATTATCACAACCAAGAAGTTTATTCCATATCAACATTTGAGGGTTTTTTAAAATTAATCTGACAATCTGACATATTTCTGTGTACATTTCATTAACAATATGAAGGAATATTTTTGTTTGGGAAATTGTAGTATAGCATCAGCAGCATATAATTTTAGTTTTTAGTTTTGCTTGCTAATTTGATTCCTGAAATGTGCAGGAATATTAGAAAAGCTCAGGAGGATTTTCATTCAACATAATATACATACACATTTTAAACCTAAAAATACACTAAGACAGAAGCTTGTCTACACTAAGGATAAAATACCCAGACACAAATTGAACAATGTGGTTTATGCAGTATAATGCAGTAAGAGATGTACAGATCTGTACACTGGAGAAACAAAACCACCACTTCACAAATGCATGGCACAACATAGGAGAACACATCCACCAGGACAAGATTCAACAGTCCATTTGCATTTGAAAGAAGAAAACCATTTTTGAAGACAGCAAAGTCCATTTTCTGGACAGAGAGGACTGCCAGTGTGAAAGAAAGGTCAAAAAGGCCATCTACATTAAGACTGAACAGCCCTCTCTCAATGGGGTGGGTGGGTTGGGGAATATGACACCATCTATTTACAACACAGTCCTTTTAGCAGTTCCAAAAAGATTCCACAGCCAATTGCACTGCTCATGTGACCCTGAGGGTAGAGAATAATCTCCAAGTGGCATCAATGACTCTCAGAAAGAGTGCTAATGACCAGATGACTGCAAGGAATCATATAAGGATGATTTATGCTGTAATTATTATTACCTTTATTTTTGTGTTACTTATATGCACTCTACAAAAATTACAACAAATCTTAGACAGTGGTGAAATCCTCCACGGTTTGCCACCAGTTCACTGTCCACTCATGTGCAGTAGTGCCAAATGCACACTGTGTGCACATGCGCAGTGTACACCAAATACGTGCTTCGCGCAGAAAAAAGAAGCTTAAGAAGGTAAGTAGAACAGCGAGGGGGGGATCAGCTGTGTTGCACGATTTATATTCACTAGAAAGCAGGATTTCCTGCTTCCTGCTTGGCACAGCTGATTGTCGGAAATACCAGTTCGGACAAGCCAGTAGCATTTTTTTACTACCAGTTTGCCTGAACCGGTAGCTTTTATTATTACCAGTTCACCCGAACCAGTGCAAACTGGTAGCATTTCACCCCTGATCTAAGAGCATTTGATGATACTTAGTTATAGATTGCTGATGAAGTACAGTATGATTCAGAACTCAATCAGGTCAAAGACTGTATGATTAAATGGAATTGATGGTAGCAAAAAAAGCAAAAATGATAGAAGAATAACATTAAATTCACCCAGAACTTAATGCTCCAAGATGTGTTATGTTTTATTAATTATATATTTCCAGTTTTTACGCCTGAAATAGAAAATTATTTGTTTTTAAAAAAACTGTTGTAAAAGTTATCAGTAGATTCCATCGATATATAGATGGATATATGCATAACCAGCATAACCTGTGGATGTTTCAGCCTTTACTTTTTCTTCTTCCTAGCATTGAACCAGAGATTTTTGGTGATGAACCTTTGTGCCCTCTTCAGGTAGGCTGAACATTTTGGTCTTCTTTTTGAGGTATGGCAAATCAAATGAAATCACATTTGACATAAGGCCACCAATTAGATCTTAGATAAAATAAGAAAAGAAAACAAGAAATTCCAATTTCAAGTTTCCAGGCCACAAGGAAAGATGAATGGTACATATAGAAGAACCAAATTAGGCAACTGGGATAGATATATATGAACAGCAGTTTGATGGGAGAAGTAACAAATATAAGGAATGCCAGGATGTCTGTCAAAGAATTCCTTCAGGTTAGGTGGATAAATCAGGCTGGGGATTCTCTGCAGATGGAACAATAAAGAAATATATAGGTCAAGGACTCTATTGTACCTTTCCACCAGGTCTGTAAATACTGATGAGTGAATACCAGCCTAACAAAACAGAAGAAGGCAAATCATCACTACAAACAGTGTAAATGTAAAATTTCAGGATTGTGATAAAAGTAGGAAGCTGATACATGCTGGATGTATTTGAAAAGACTCCATGTCCTGAAGGACTGGGGAGCATACTTAAATTGATTTGAAGATCAGTATGTCAGATATGATTCTTATGGATACTTATGAGCAAAGATTCTGCAATGAGTGTCCTACAGAGTGAGGACACAGAGTGAAGCTTGGCAATAATATTTTTTAACTAAGTTTACTTAAAGTGATCCCTAAGGATCAATAGGAATAAGTTAATTTTAGCCAAAGTTAAAATGTATACCAAGATCTAGCATCCATTGAGACCAAGTCCTTTTCAAAGTATAGAGTAGTGTTCTTAAGGTATCTTGGGATTGCAAAGATAGCTATAATAAAGTTAGAACAAATGGTCTCAAGAATGTTAAAGCTTCTAAAAGTACAGTTTTGGAAACCACCAAGAAACTGGGAGAAGACCTTGCCAGCTTCAGGGATGAAGTGAATTCCCTTTAAATGGCTAAATCTCAGGACAGTTGAAGAGCTATGCTCAGTAATACGTGTTAGATAGATACAAAATGTTCTCTCCAGTATAGAGGGACTTGGAAGAGTCCTCCAAGGTAATTATAAGTGTGTACTTGCTTTGCAGAATTCCCATTAATTTGCCATTTATGAATTTTATAGTTTTGGGCAAATATTATGACTTTAGTTGCTTGATAGTTTATTACTAGCTTTTCTCCTCAGCAGAAAGAGGTCAAAGTCCTTAACACTCTTTCTATGATCACAATGTCATCTGTCTGTAAAAGACACAGAATTGCTCGACTGCCAATCCTGCTAAAGTGGGGCAGAGAGGCATGGGTTACTGAATTGATATACACATTAAAAAGTAGAGGAAATGCAAGATACCTCTTCATGGTTCTTGCATAAGATGTTAAATAGGTCTGATTGCATAAAGCAGGTCTAGATCCTCAGTATCAGGATCCAATGCAAAGGAACCAGGAAGAAATGATTTAAGGAGAGATGGAAGGCGAAACCAGTCTAGGGTAAAGTCATACATAGTGGGCAAGCTAAATTTGCATTCAAGACCAGGTTGCAAATCTGAAGGCTTCTGAAGGAGATTTTCACATAGCTTGGATCCTGAACGCTGCCTAGTGCAGTGTCAGTAGAATGGCAAAGGAAGCCTGTCTTGGAATGGAAGTGAATGTAAACTTCTCCTGTCCTTAAATTTGCTCATGAGTCTTCTCCCAATGTCTGGACCCACATCATATATAATTGATGTAACTTCCTTGAATGGAGGTATGTGACAAAACAGAAGCGTGTTATTTAATAAAAGAGGA